GAATCGTGTATCATTTTTCTCACTTGATAATATGCAAATGGAAAGTACATTTACTGTGTTTGCCCCTCTCGGAACTTTCTTCACAAGAACTGACATCACCAACACTCGATAACATTCTATTTATGTATAAGTATGATTTGCACAAATTTGTGTACATTTGTATGGGTGTTGCCTTGTACTAAGTTATGTGTATCTTACAATCACTTTGTCTTACGGTGACTAGATCTTTTGTCATGAAATGTGCTTCTTAGGTATTCCTGTGTATCTCTAAACCAACCAGTGTAATATATAAATCCTAATTCCTAGTACCAATCATTACTTCTAAAAAATACAAAAACTGGTCAGATATATCGTTTTAATTTTCATTTAATCAACAGAACTACAAATATAACAATATCAAAATATCTAACATAAAGAATGAAAATGGTAAACGGAACTAGATATGTCTTTTGAAGACGAGTATGTATATTTGATTCAACGATGTTTTCACAATGAGCTATTTACATTTGTACATTGTGAATATTTCCACAATATTGTCACTGCTTGACGTACATACAGTCGGGACCATGGTATGTCGCTATCGGTTTGTTGATAAAGTTAGTGAAGCCTTGATCTTTGAGGTACTGAACTATTTCTTCATCATAGTCACGCTTGAAGGTTTCTGGGTCTCGCGCCAGTACGAAGAGTGTGGCTTTCAGGTTGTCGGTCACCACAGAGTATTGGTACTGGTCATCCTTTCCAAACGTTGTAGGTCCTAGTTTGATCACCCAGTCTGAAAGGACCATTTACGTGAATATATGATGACGAATAATATATGTTAAGATACATTGCGTGCAAGCAATACTTAATTATGAACGTTTTAAAACTTCCTTATTCAAAGTTCAATATATCTAGCTGTAATGTTAAGGTTGGTAAAATGGCAGGATCTTCATGCTTCTTGCAGAAATAAGGTAGAATGAGAGTGACCTTCACCTGACGCTATGCATATCAAAGCATACTTTGATAATTACAGGAAGTCACGTGAACCCTTCACCAAAGAACGTGACGTTATGCATTTGCCTAAAGAAAAATATATAAAAATACTTACAAGGGGCTGGGAACGGAGCTGTTTCGAGATTGACGGTCAGCTTTCCTGGCTCATTGGATGGAACTGCGTATCCGTTGATAGTCTTGAGCGTTCCATTTGGAGTCTTCAGATTTTCTCCATTACGAACGAGCACATTTCCAGAACCGTCCGTTGACATGGAATCTATAATATTGATTTGTATTTATATAGAAATAACCGCTAATGAGGAGATAAAACGATACGGATGACTTGCCAAAGTCCTTCGTGCAAATAATTCCTATGTGTATGATTTACCCAAAATTCATCAGTTTTGAGCTTAAATTGATTTTTTGACAAGTAAATTTTTGAAAATGAAACGCAGAAAAAATACGGTTTATATGTACTAGACTGTTTGTAAAATACTACTTTCCGATACGCTGATAAATGCATCGACAAACTTACAGTCGGCGGTAACACATACGGCGTTCCTTTCGAAAGTAACATACACAGACTGACTGGCGTACATCTGTGGATTCAATAATGAATTATTAAATGAATGACAAGAACAGTACTTTTGTTCGGAACCTATTTAAGACGCTGTAAAACATATCATAGTATCATTTATTGTACTAGTAATCAAACATCGCGGTCACCTTCGTAGGTTTCACGATTTGACCAACAGCATTACCGAATAGCCTTAGGCGGTCGAAATACTGTATGTTATAGTTTGATTCGTATAATGATTAATTACTAATTACCATTATTATCATTGTTGTTTCTACCTACATAGATCTGTCCTTGGTTTGTAAGACGAATGATTCACATACCTGATACCATCGTCCCAAGTATTTCGGTACGTCCAGTTTGGTGACGGTATTGATACCACTTCCCAGACCAAAGCTGTCTAAAAGGAAGGCTGAAATTGCCGGGGCAAACAGGGCGATCAGAAGTACACTGTACATTTTGTTGTAACTGTATAATTCAATTGCAGATATGGAATAGTTGCTAGTCCTCGTCTTATATACAAATAAAGTTACATAAAGCTGATAACTCACGTTTCTGTCAACACATTGTAAAGCATGTGCTCATGACGTCAAACTGACCACTGACACCTGGACTAAGATAATAGCAAGACACATTCTTGAGTTTCTTTATATGGGTGTGCATTTCTCAACATATATTCAAAATTAATCACAGCACATGACGTCAATTTTCCGTCTTCGTTCCTATTAAACTGATTGGTAAATTATTTATAAAAAAAATGTGTCTGTAGGGGTACAGAAATCAGCATCAATATTTATCTCCTAATATGTTACAAAGGGAGATTTCAAATCGATTAAAACATTGGAAAAAGTTGTTCAGAAAAGCATGTTATACCGACGAAATCATAGCATTATGATAACGCCAACATTCCCATGCTACCAATCATTTTGTTCCTGGCCAATTTAAATACCGAGAATGTTGATACGAAGGTTTCAGATTTGAATTTCCTGTCGAAATTGTTCCCGTATTTGATATAAATATATGTGTGCGTATGTTTAACGAAAACAAGGAAATAGTTTTCCGAAATCCAAATAATTTCAAACTTATAGGTGTCTTTTTATTTTCGTGCCTTTTGTACAAACCTTTCGGAATTGTTTGGGTTAGATTATGTTCGTGGACAGATGCCAGTTGTTTTTATTCATATGAAAAATGTCGTTCAGAATATCCACTTGAATAGTGTACATGGTCTTCCTTTAAAATAATTCCAATGTTGAAAAAAAGTTAGCTTGCTTCATTTCTAAATTATGGGGTTGATTCATCTCCCTGCAAAATGTATCTTTAACATTGATCTCGGTTAGTTTTTATTTTTTAGGGTAACCTCCTAGCGATTTAAGTCTTTAAGCCATGGCTTTAACGGCGTGTCCTAAAATAATAAAGCAATTTATATGCTGCCGTTTGATTCAATGCAAATGTATATTGTATCTAATTCTAATTTTTGTATTAAAAGGTGCTATTCACTTGTGTGTCATTTGTACAATATTTTTAACAGTGACTGTTCTTTGTTCACATGCAGATTTTGTAAATAATGATAAGCCGACCACGTGTGATGTATATGACGTACTGATCTAATAGAACATTGCTCCGGTAGTAGTATTTACCAAGAAAGATAAGCTTGTACAACTATACAGTCTACTTTAATGTACACAGTAAATATCCTGAGTGTTGTTGGTGTGTTTAGTACCGCATATGATGGAACTACCTTTATCTATGTAGTAATCGCTTTGTATGTACGTCCATGCGTACGTCGGAACGTCCGTACAAAGCTGAAACACAAAATATCTCCTAAACAGTTTATATTTACACCATAATATCACATCTTACCATCGGGTGACCCATGCCCACATGAACATTATATAATCATAACACTTATTGAATGGTATGTTATCATTTAAAGTTCATGAATAACAATGGTATTACTATCGTAATTGACTTATTATTATGTGATAACAATTATTCATCAGCTAATGTGATTTTTTTCTTACAAAATAGATAACTAATCCATGCCACTGAAAATCTGTTTAAAAATTCATGAGGTAATTAACATCAAGATGTCTCTCAATACACAGAGATTATTAGTATTAGTAACTAAACGATATAGAATATATATCATATCTATTGTCATAGCAATAAGTTCTTTTATCAACTTATCTCAGCCAAATAACATGGTCAGTTAGAACACATACGGATATATATATATGTGTGTGTGTGTGTGTGTGTGTGTGTGTGTGTGTGTGTGTGTGTGTGAGTGTTTTAGGATATGACCATCATATAGCATTGAAGGTACTTGTATACATAGGGAGATTATATAGATAAAAAATTGCATGACATTCGACCCATATGGATTTTGTGTTAAAAATACCCGAATATTCTTTTTATTATTAATTCATTTTATAATAAGATATGAGTTATAGGTCTAAAGAAGATTTTTAATCAGTGTTGTCTTTAAATGTTTCTTTTAAAATGTTTTCTATGTTTCCATTATTTCCAAATATGAATTATGTGTCCAGAAGCAAGGGATACATATATAGGTTATATGCTTGTTGTTCACTCCTTTTGATTTATTCAGTCAATAGAATATGTTTGAAATAAAATAGCATCACATCATCATGTTCTACAGTTGATGAGATTTTCGTAGTCAACTGTCGAGTTTAAATGTCATTCTTCTGAAATAAAGTTTCCAACAGTTTGTGTACAAGAGATATAATGAAAAACCAAACATTTTTTAAAAATCAGGGAGTGGGGTATAAATCTATTTGAGTCCCTGCTCAATTTGTTTTCATTATATCATATGTATGTTTTGACGTGTTATACTTGTGCCTTTACATATGGAGCGTCGTGTTTCAGTTGGAGTTTTGGTACACGGAATAAGGTACTCAGATGGTCATTCAGGATAACATCCTTCAGTGCCTCACGAAAAGAAGACATTTTATAAACAATCATAAAATAAACTTGCCATGAAACAATTTTAATTGATGAAGCATATATATCCAAAGCAGAAAGACATTTTCAACTCAAAAGTGTATATTTTGGGAATATTTTCACAATGTAATCAATATGGATATCAGAATACTACCTTTTATACATAATCAGGAATTTCGTAAGTATGAATGATCTGAATTTTACATATGCACTGAAAAAAGAGGAAACACTCATTTTCGGGCTCTTAATGTACCATTAACGGGAGACACATTGCACGTTTTGAGACAATATGTATAACTAACATAGAGATAATTGTGCAATAACCCAGTCTTAGATAAGGGAAGTCACTGCCCGTTTATTTGTCCTGAACACGTGTCTTAGACGGTGTTGACAGAAACGTGAATAACAAACGTTATATAACTTATTTGTTATATAAGACAAAGCTCTATCATTCCATTAACCTAACTTTACCTGCTGTAGAGCCGACAACAAAATGCACAGTGTACTTCTGATCGCCCTGTTTGCCCCGGCAATTTCAGCTTTCCTATTAGACAGCTTTGGTCTAGGAAGTGGTATTAAAACCGTCACCGAACTGGACGTGCCGAAATACTTAGGACGATGGTATCAGGTATGTGGTTATAACAGAATCAACAAGCTATGGCCAATATAGTGTCTTATAGTCTAAAATAGATGTCTGGTTTGTTTTGTTTTTTGTGTTTGTTTATCCTTATTCTCCTTTTTTTCTATTTCTTGACACATATTCAAGATTTTAAAGTTTAAGTCTCATGTTTGCCAAAATATATCATCATTCTCTTCCGGTTAAGATCCCCATGTTGCAAGATTAAGTCGGCTGAATTAAAACTTATCATTGTCATAGTAGTTCTTTAGATATAAAATCGACTTTCAAACACTGTCAATTATAATCACCTGTTTTTTCAATGTATTTCCTATTTTCCACAGATGTACGCCAGTCAGTCAGTATATGCCACGTTTGAAAAGGATGCCGTGTGTGTAACTGCTGACTGTAAGTCCAACAAAATCTTGTTATCATATTTGACAAATTTTCGAAGTAACTGTCATACCTCTTATTTCTTATATACTGCTCTTTGTCGTCATTAATTAGCACGGTGACGTGTTTCGATTTATCGTTACATGAAGTTAAGTCGATTGGCTCCTATCGTTTATAGATTCCATGTCAACGGACGGTTCTGGGAATGTGCTCGTTCGTAATGGAGAAAATCTGAAGACTCCGAACGGAACGCTCAAAACTATCAACGGATACGCAGTTCCATCCAATGAGCCAGGAAAGCTGACCGTCAATCTCGAAACAGCTCCGTTCCCAGCCCCTTGTAAGTATAATTGTGTATACCACTTAAAGTTCAAAGTTCAAACTCTGTTTTCATGGATATGCATCCTTTATTATGTAGCGACACTGTTTTACTAAACTCACAATACTATGTTTGATTGAAAATCTCGAAGGGACGTGTTCGAATAAGGTATTGTTCTAAATAGCTCTAGCTAGCTTACAACTTGTTTCAAAACAAAGTTAAAATGAAAATAAAACTTTCAATCAAACCCAATCCTAACCGTGACCTCTAGTTTGATGAGAATATTAGGAAATTACTTCTGTCGGGCAATTGTAAGACACTTCCCATAAGATATATAAAACGAGTCTTGATTCTTAAGGTAATTGTTTCACAAGAGAGCCTCCATGGAATGGATGCTGATAATGAGATTACGATTTGCACTCGATTTATGTAAAGTTATTATTGTATAAATTTGTATATGTACAATACAGTTAAGTAGAACGATATATGTTAATATCAAGATTCAAAAGTAGTTAATACTTTACCATGGACTTCCGTTTTATGGGCTGCTTCAAGTCGATTGCCTTTCTATATTAAATTTTTCTTGATGATTTAAACATACCCAGTAAGGATTCGTTTTTATAACCTACAGAAAATCTTTAATCAGGTACAATTTTTTTTTATTCTTGATGGCAGCATCATTGTTGGTAGCCCGTGAATCAGCTTCATTTAAATTCATTTCAGACTGGGTGATCAAACTAGGACCTACAACGTTTGGAAAGGATGACCAGTACCAGTACTCTGTAGTGACCGACAACCTGAAAGCCACACTCTTCGTACTGGCGCGAGACCCAGAAACATTCAAGCGTGACTATGATGAAGAAATAGTTCAGTACCTCAAAGATCAAGGCTTCACTAACTTTATCAACAAACCAGTAGCGACATACCATGGTCCCGACTGTATGTACGTCAAGCAGTGACAATATTGTGGAAATATTCACAATGTACAAATGTAAATAGCTCGTTGTGAAAACATCATTGACTCAAATATACATATTCAAAAGACATATCTAGTTCCGTTTACCATTTTCATTCTTTATGTTAGATATTTTGATATTGTTATATCTGTAGTTCTGTTGATTAAATTTGTATTTAGAAGTAATGATTGGTACTAGGAATTAGGATTTATATATTACACTGGTTGGGTTAGAGATACACAGGAATACTTAAGTAACACATTTCATGACAAAAGATCTAGTTACCGTAAGACCAAGTGATTGTAAGATGCACAGACTTAGTTCAAGGAAACACCCAGACTAATGTACACAAATTAGTGCGATTCATACTCATATACATAAATAGAATGTTATCGAGTGTTGGTGATGTCAGTTCTTGTGAAGATGGAAATACATCACACCAAAAATACAAAAAAGTAATACAATGACATCATTTTAGTGTTTCATAATCATTTGTTTTTGTTGACGACTGTTTTTGTTTTTTTAAGTAAAGGCGATTAAAACGTACGATGTTTTTCTGTTCTTTATAGTATGGTTTAAGCAGTCCAGTGGTTGGTATCATGGACTAGTGTCTTAAAAATAGAATAACTTGGAGAACAGACTGTAGTACCTGTCTCATATATTTTTAAATTGTCTATAAACTGTCGTGATATGACTGAGCTTAGCAGGCAGACAAGCATGCCACAAATGATATAAAATCTCAATATTTATGTTTACAAAACTCCCATTGTGTGTTTGTCCTAGCCGATGATTTTATTTTAACTGAATGACCTATTCATCTTCGACATTGTCATCCGTCTAGCATAGCAGCAATTATGACAATGTGTCGTCGCCGTTCCAACACGAATTTCAAATTTTTAGGTGTGTAGGAAAGAATTTAAGGCTTATTTCCGATACAAGCTTCGTATTGATGATGTTCAAGGCTTTATTGAAAAGTTATAACTATGTAAATCATTCATTTGATTAAAAGGAAATTATTTTGTAATAATTTTACTCTTGACATTTTCGCTGTCAAAGGATTGTACCTATGACTTGTGTTTTGTATAGGTTTTACACTGCACTATAAAGTTGTTTTTCCCTTATGATAATTTTTATATATATTTTAGGTATTGTAATTCCTTGTTAAATAATTATATCCCTCATTTTTGTCCAATACCGACTCTGAAATCTTCCTCTTCGTTCCAGCAAACAACAAATCGTTAGTTATAATGTACCTGTTTGCCTGTCGCTGAATATGTATTAATTATATATGACACCCTTCACAGCTCGCTTATAGAAGAGCAGTACTTTCATAAGACACGGAAATCCATTAAAGTACGATATATATATATAGATGTTAGACAAAGCGCTGTTGGCAATGGCTAATGTTTATCGATCAGGTCGTTTAGTGGATTAACCATTCCCATTTTACTGGACATAGAACCATATGGGGTAGTTACCCTTGTGACGTGGTTTCAGCTTCATATTTGGCAGTCGAGTTGATCATGGTAATGGGTCTCGTCGTTAAAGGGCTGCTTGTCAGAGGGTAATTCTGGTCAGTGTGTCAGGTCGTAGGACAGATGTCCTTAAACGCGATTTGAGTACAATTTGATATTTAACGATACATTCAACTCCAATTCGTCATTAGCCTTTGGAATGCTTTTGAATGTCGAGTTTTGACAATCCTTATCACAGCTTATTTGGGGTGTACGCATCATTTGCTGTATCTTTACTATTTATTCTCTATACTTTTCTATAGTGAGTAACGTCTGAAATTCCAGATGTTGGCCCCCGAACATCGGTCAGCGGTCAACATCTCGATACTGACAGCTTAATGTCGCAGCTGTTCGGTACTTCCAAATCGTTTCTCGATAATTCCTGTTGCATTCGGCATTCAGCCTCAAGGAACACATGCTGACGTCACATCCAGTCAACAAATGTAAAGCGTTCCCCAAGTTATCATTAGCGATAATGACGCAATGCGACGTGGACGCCGCGAGATCTCGTGAAGATATGACAGTTTGGCGCGAAACTTGGCTGCAGCGCTCATTCTTCCGAGACGTCAGACAGAACACTGTACGTGAATATGTAACAGAAATAAACACTCTTTATTTAGGAGCTAGAAGCAACCTGGTGGGATAGAGTGTCATTTCCTTAACACCACAAAACCAATTAGATATTTACTAATATACCCTGTGACCATTCACAATAATCGTTATTAATTTCATTAATTAAATCAATCTATGTGTCATCAATCACAGAAAGCTGTTGAAAATGGTTTTAGGTGCGACGATATGTTTAACTAAGACAAACAAAAAATTATTGTTTGCTGTTTAATCTACCAACAGCACATCGCTATCCAATTCTGTTTCCGAACGTCTGAAAATATTTTATAACACTTTGGACTATTGGTTAATTTCAATTTAAGCAGCTTATCAAAATCTGGAGGGATGGTTATTAGATTAAGCTCAGGACAATGTAAACATGTGTTTGTTTGCACCCATCGACTTGTTATTATTAACTCTACGTTCTACTGTATTCAGACACCGTGATATATTGATCTGCGCATCATCGCAAATATGGATGCGGAAATCCTGAAATGTGTGTTTTACATTACTGTCCTGACATTCCAACAGGCAACAACCATGGAATTATCTAAGTTCAGTTTTTAATTAATTTCGTCAAATTGGATTTCCGTAGATATTACCTTTAGATTTAATCGGCTTTACCAAATCATAAATAAAGAACATAAATCACATTACCTCGTCCTTTTACGCCTCCTCACTGATGAGTGTAGGTGGACAGGTCACCAATTCTTAAGTTTCAAAATTTGATAACATTTGATGTTCATTTCGATTTTTAAGCGTGATAGAACAATATTTGGTATATAGCATTTTGTGAATGACCGTAATATTTACACCAAATCCCTGCCAATAGATCGTATGGTACCTTCGACTGACATTGTTGCAACTCTTATTGTCATAACAACGCTTAATGTAATACTCATTACATTCAACTTTGCGACTGCTGCGCCTAGTTTAAAAAACTTCCTCTTTATTACATTAAACGTTACAGCTTCTGTGCTTAATGTAATAATTTTGGTTCTTATCGCAATAGTCGTAGCTGTCTCAACGCTTAATGTTATTACGCGCCTAAACTAGTAGTGACAAAGTAAAGAAAATGCTAAATGTAATAAATTTCGAATGAAGGAGGACATACTGTATCACTACAGTATTAGTTCTTCTGCTTCGTCTGGTGCTACTTCAGGTTCTTCTGATACTTAATTCTGAACCAATGAAGATATTTAGATGACACTCAAGACATGCGAACAACACCCACACTTGGTGTGCAGAGCATTAAAATAAGGCCTCTGCGATCTTCACCTCGATGTCAGTGGTCAAATAAGTGCCAACGTTTCAGTACAATCTCTTCGATCCATATTGAATTGTTCAAGATATATTCATATATTCATGAAACATATGTACTGAAGGAGTGAAGAGCAAAGTAATCTGGTCACCGTATCGTCATGGCAAGGTCAAAGGCCAAATACACACATGTACGTGCCAAATTTTCAACATGGTTTTGTTTGAGCAATAACCCTTGAACCCTGAATGCTATCTTGATGAAATTTAAAATATACCTACATCAAACACATGTGATAAGCGGTGTAAACCCGTTAAGTTAAAATTCTTTTGGAAATTAATAATATAACCATAAATGAAAAGCGAAACTGAATAAAAACAATATTAACCAAACTTCGCTCGGGGAGACATCCTGTTTGATTGTAATTCATGTAGCTATAGCCTTATTGTCCCACCACCAGGAATAGACGTGTTATTATTGGCCTGGCCACCTGTCAGTTTCTTTTGTCACTCACCGTGTCTAATGTATAGTCATATAAATTCGTATATCAGAATGTGTTTAACCCATAATACCACCACATCAGGTCAAAAACATTCTAAGTTTTATTTTTATTTTTATGGTTTTATTCCCATATTCGAAAATAGCCATAAATTAAACAACTTGAAAATAACAAATTTACAGTTTGCATCTTTACCAAACATTACAATGTCGATGGGTAGTTGCAGTCCGTTATGTTAGAACGCCTTCAAGAGATAATTATAGTCCATGCCCACATTAGATCACCAAGAATTGTCATCGGTAGTTGAAGTCTGCATTCACTGGAAAAGAACGTCCGTGTCCACTGTAAAATCGCGAAGAGTTGTCATGGGTAGGTGGACTCCCATGTCCACTGGAAAATCGCCAAGAGTTGTCATGGGTCGGCGAACGTCCGTGTCCACTGGAAAATCACCAAGAGTTGTCAACGGTAGGCGAACGTCCTTGTCAACTGGAAAATCACCAAGAGTTGTCAACGGTAGGCGAACGTCCTTGTCAACTGGAAAATCACCAAGAGTTGTCATGGGTAGGCGAACGTCCTTGTCAACTGGAAAATCACCAAGAGTTGTCATGGGTAGGCGAACGTCCTTGTCCACTGGAAAATCGCCAAGACTTGCAATGGGTAGATGAACTTCCACGTCCACTGGAAAAGAACTTCCGTGGCCATTGGAAATTCACCAAGAATTGTCTTGGGTAGATGGACTTCCGCTTTAGTTTAGTAATTTAGTAATTCGACAGCCGTGTCTCAATTCAAAACGATGTAGTGTCGACAAGTAACACTACATTTCTAACTTAAAATCAGTACAACCATGGCAAACTATGAATTGTTCAAGATTTACATAGTGGACATGTCAGATAAATTAGACCGAATGTTCCGGAAGAGTAAGCGTCTACTACTTCATAGACAGTACGTTAAAACGAAGATTAATGTTCATATTGATTCGATTCTGCATTCAGGACATTGGTCTTATTACATTTCACCTGACGAAATGCTGCCTCGACATTTATGCAATACACATCGACATGTTTGTATATATACTTAGATGAAATCTGCCTTGCATAGACCCCAATGTAATTTCCACTTATTC